GTGGGGGGGGGGGGGAATCGAATGAAGTGTATTTTGCCTTTTTGTTTTTTATTTTCTAGCCACACTTTTTTTTTCTGCTGTAAACTTGTCAGTGTTATTGATCCTGTTGCTTCTCTCACTCACCTTGCCTTTGGTCGTCCATCTTGTTTGGGCCATTGTGTATTAGTACATTGTGTTTTTTTTTTTTTCTATTTATGACACCTGTAGATGTATTCTCTGCTGTAGGGGTGCAGAGCAAGCTGTGGATTAGATATATAGTGGTTATGCTTGTCTAAAGTGCAAGTCTTACACCATAGGGATGTGAGGGAGGCCCTCTGGAAGCTCTCCTACAGTTTCTATATGAAGAGTTGTGAATTTCTTTTTTGCAGCAGATTTGTGTTTACGTTAACGCGTGGAGGTGTGTGTGCTTGTTTGCATGTGTGTATGAAGGGATGCCCGTGGCTATACAAGTAAAAAGTGGGGGAAACATGAAATTTGTCGCACTATTATATTTTTTGAAATAGTTAATGCAAAAGAGCTTTTTTGTCAGCTTCGTGATTGTGACGATGAGTTTGATGGTTCCAACCATTATACTATTTCATTTTTCAGCACTTTTACCTCACTTGAGTTTTTCCTTTTGAATGGAAATGTACATGTACATCAGGAAAATGTGTTTGAAGAGGAAATAATGAATAAAGAGTATTAAATGCAATATCTGCTTCAGCTGTTTCTTCCAACTGAAACCATCTTATCCCAAACCAGCATTTATGTGTAAAATGTCTGTCGGGTAATACTGCGTTTTACATCTAAACTCTTAACACACCTTCCAAAGTTACTGCCAGACCGGCTCAACTAAAATAGGTAGTCCTGCTTATGTGGCCTTCAAGTGAGGCCACATCAGTGGTCTGTACTCTGGTGCTTTTTAAATGAACAGCCAAACAAAACTGTTTGGTTTAGGAATGTGAACCCATTCATGCACTGTTCTGTACACAGTGACTGGAAATGTACTTCCTCCAGGACCACAGTGCAACAACAATGAGGAGCACAGCATGTAGCAGTCAGCAATATACGGTACACACTCAATGTAACATACCAGCGTACACAGCGTAGTTTGCACATGCAGACCAGTGAGTGGAGCCTCTAAACCAGAGCTTCTTTCACACATTACTCTTCTTCACATTTATCTTTGGAGAATCAGGAAGTCAGTCAACAGCCTGCTGTGAAACACCTTCACTTTCAAAATGTCAAAACAAAGCAGTCATCACAACACCTTCAAGAATTATGTAGAGGGGGGGCTTTGGGGTATCTGTACCTGGAGCTCCATAACCCCATTGTCTGTCCATATGAGTACAGAAATAAAATCAGTATTGTAGACAGCAGCGTACAGTGCAGAGCGTACAGTAGAGAATACAGTGCGGGACAGTACTGGTGTGAGTGAATTATGGGGGGTGTGGTGTTCATTTTGCATGTTGAGAATTGATAATAAAAGGAGTTCGGTCTAGACCTCTATTTGAAAGGTGTCCTGAGATAACTTCTGTTTATGAATTGCGCTATACAGATAAAATTGAATTGAATTGATAATGGCAAATTTCTGATGACACTGTGTGCCATGACACACTGATATCTGGCTAACTTACTACTCTTGCTGTTAAACAATGAATAGAATTTTCTTTGTGCTACTAACAGCTCTGAAAAATCACATTTTAAAAAGATTTAGGAGAAACTGACCTTGTTACTCTGTAAACAGATTTCATGCGCACAATTTCTTTAGTAGGA